GATGGGATGGGATGGGATGGGATGGGATGGGATGGGATGGGATGGGACGGGACGGGATGGGAAGATTTGGCTCGGGGCTCTGAGCCAAAGGTCTGCCTGCAGGTGGGTGGCATACCAGTACCCGGGATACAGGGGCTACCAGTACGTGCTGGAGCGGGACAGACAGAACGGCGAGTTCAAGAAGTACAATGAATACAGCAGCCAGGCCCACACCAACCAGATCCAATCCATCCGCCGCGTCCAGCACTGAACAGGGGCAGGGCTGTGTGCCCTGCAGCCTCCAGGCTGCTGTGCAATAGACCTCTATCCGGTAGCAAATAAAGGCATTTGTCAAAAAACGAGTGCTCCTGCCTCTCCTCTGCTCCTCAGGGGGCTGCCATTCTGGGCAGTGGAAGATGGGGTTTCCCCTTCCCCAGGTGGTTTTGGACCCACGGCCAGCTCCACCCTGGGCTGAGCTCTCTACACCCACCTCTGCTCCATGCACAAAGAGTAGAGGGGGTTTGGAACAGTTCCACTGCTGTGATGCTCTGGCTGGGAAATTGGGAACTTACTGGGCAAAGAAAAGGCTGGAGATGGGAGGGGGCATCCAGGAGGGTTGGGCCCTGAGAAGGGGCATCCAGCGGTGCTGTGCCCTGGGTTCTCCTCCCAGGATCAGTCCCAGAGAAAGTGATTGCAACAAAGTCTGTGAACTTCAGGTCCCCTTCTTCTGCAGCCCTCTGGTAGAGAGAAGGGGCCCCTGCCTGCTGTGGGCGTGGGAAGGAGGAATAACATATGGGTCACCTGGGGCAGGATGGGACACTGACAAAAATGGAGAAGCCACAGTTGTGTCAGGTTTGGGGGAACCGGCATAGAGAGGCTGGGGGGAGGGGGGCGTGTGTTGTGCAGGAGCAGGGGAAGAAGGTGTTAGGCCAGCGTTCCACAGCTGTTAGGGGACTTGGCTTGATGCTCYCAGGTGTGTGTGTCCTCCCCCAGCCTTGCCACGCCACCATATCCGTGCCAGTATCCGGCTCCGGGACACCGGGAGCCCCACCCAGCTTCCTCCTCCTCTTCYTCCTCCTCCTCCTGCTGCACCCTTTCCCAGCCTCCTCCTCCTCTTCCATCTGGCACCCTGAACCCTCCTGGTTGCAGGCTACCCATCCCAAGGTGCTCCCTGCGCCCAGGACATCACTTCCTCCTCCTTCTCCTCCTTCTCCTCCTYCTCCTYCTYCYCCYYCTYCTCCTCCTCCTCCTCCTCCTCCCCTTCCATCCTCCTCCGGCACTCTGAAGCCCTCCTGGGGCACAGGCCTCCGGTCCCGAGGTGCTCCCCACACCCAGGACATGGATCCACAGTGGAACAATTCTGTCTCAGACACCTGGATTCCCTGATGCCCACCCTGCTAAAGCATGCCTGGCTCTGAGGCAGSGAGTGTCCCAGCAGGGTGCTGGGGGTCAGTGTGTGCATACCTTGCACCCAGTAGTGCAGAGACCCCAGCCCCAGCGTGTGTCAGCCTGTGCATGAGTGTGTGTGTGAGTGTACACGACTGCGTGCACAATCGTGTCCCTGCACACCCCCTCTCCTCCCCAACCCCAGTGCTGCCGTGTGCCCCGTCCCCATCCTGAGTTWCGTCCCAGCTACAGGGTGCCCCCCAGCCCTCCCCTGTCCCCTCTGTGTCCCCGCTGGCCCCACCCCACCCCGGCCCGACGGCCTCTCCCCCTGCACAAACACATTCCGGCACACCTGGCGAGGTGCAGCCAGCCCAGGGCCACGTCAGCTCGGCTCCGCTCCACAACGCCGGCTCCCAGGTGAAGCTTTCCCGGGCACCCGCTCGTAGGGATGCGATGGGGGATAGGGGCGGGCTGTGGGGGTCACTGCAAAGTCTGGGGTCCTTATTATTCTGCCTGCGGTAGGGAGAGAGCGCTGCGGTGGGGGGTGGGGGCAGGCTGCCTCTTACAGCCAGAGGGACCTGCAGTTGCTTCCAGCTGGGGGTTCCACGTGTCTGGGCTCCGTCCCCAGTCGCCCCCAAGACCTGAAACCTCATCTCCTAGATCTCCTGCAGACCCGAAGCCCAATCCCTTGTTCCTCCATGGACGTGGGGCCCTGTTTACTGGACTGGTCACATACCCTGTCTCCCCCATCCTCTGGGTCTGCCCCAGCTCCCCCGTGTCCCAGCTCCTGCATGAACCTGGGTTCACATCATTCAGGTCCCCAAAACTCCACACGGACACAGGGCTCCCCAGCTCTTGGGACCTCACTTTCCTTCTCCTCTGCACACCTCTGACCCCAGGTCACTCAAAGCCCCTAGTCCACTCAYACCCCACTTTAAGCCACTCACCCTGGCTTTTCCAGGGACCCAGGAGTCCCCACCCCCAGTGTCCAGCTCCAGCAGCCCTAACCCGACTTTTCAGCTTGATCCTAACTGCACTYCCCAGTCTGTGCTGGTGCACTGTCCCTTGACTCAGACCCCCCTCTCTATGCCCTCCACCATGCAGGTTTGCTGGAGGAGTATCATGGTCACCCAGGCTACCAGGAAAGAACAGGTTGGTGGGTCTGGTACGTTCCCCACCTCACCCTGCTGCCTCCGGGGCTTGTTTTCCGTTGCCTGCGTTTTGTTTCAGTGACTCAGGCAGCGAAAGCAAGTCTGGGAGGCTGCGGAGCCTCTGCTGGGAGCTGCATTTGTGGGGCTGGGGAGGTGAGGGATGCGGGGACCAGCCAGGGCTGCTGGGCTGWACTGAACTGAACACCCCACTGCGGGGTTCTGGGGACCTCAGGGGACAAATGGGGGGAAGACAAACTTTTTAAGGGCTGTTACATCCAAACAAGATTGGTGGGGAATTACTGGGGGAATACCATGGTYCCTGCTCATCTGTCCCCTTGCCAGTATTTGCTCTTTGTCCATGATGGAGATGGGCAGCAGAGGTGGAGCACCTGGAGCAGAGGTGGGKCTCAGTAACCAGGGGACCCCCTGTTTTCTAGACACTTTGGACACCCCCTGCCAAGAGGAACCACTAGACTCGATGAGCTGTGCCACCCCGATCGAGCATTGCTCCCCTTGGGCTGGGCTTCTTATGCAGGGCACATTTTGGCTGCAGTAAAAAGAATAACAGTAAGTCTGGTATGGCCATACCCTGATTTCAATTACGTTCATATCTTGCAATGATAACTTTAAAGAAAGGCAGCTGAATCTGCCATAAGGGCTCATCCTTTTACCAGACGTCAATGAAACACCACAAGAGACGTGAACTTGGCTGTACAGTGCTGAACTTGTGGAGCAGAATTTGTGACAGCTGCTGGCACATTGCCTGGCTGCCTCGAGCTGTGGGATCCTGTGGAGGGTCCCTCCTCGGGGGCAGAGACTCTGACACAAACCCACAAGTGTATATAGCAGTTGAAGCCATGGGGGATGGGAAAAACCGGGCCAGTTGTGTCTTTTTGGAGATGGAATCAACTTTTCTCTGTTGTAAGTTTCTCCACGACATGCCCTCCTGTCTTCAGAACATACCCAGGGCTGTCCAGGACAAGCAGGTGAAGATGAAGAAATCATCCTGGTTTGTGTAGGTGTTGGGGGTTATCCAGCTTCTACAGATCCTAATAAAGATGTTCAACAGACTGGGACAGGGCTGGGTGCTCTGGGATGGTCACAGGCTTAACTCTCCCTGAGGAAGAGACTGTTCAGAAGGGCCCGGAAGAGCCGGGGAGGTGGCAGAGCTGTTGTATGACCTGGTGCCACCAACTGCTGGACATGCATTTACACATCCCAAAGCTCTGGGCACTGCAAAGGAACCCCATGACCTGYGTCCTGGAGGTGGAGTGACCTGGAGGGGAACCAGTTCCCAGGGCTTTAGGAACTCCAAGGAGACCGCAGCACGGTGCTGATAGTGCTGCAGCTGGGGATGGGGTGGGTATGGACCCCCAGCACAGTGGCTCGGAGAGCCGRACGCCAGGGGGACAATGCCGATGCCGCGCAGCGAGAGCGGGGTCCGGGCGATGCCGGCCGATGGGCGAGCCAGGAGGAAGCAGGATGCTGGTGGGAGGCCGGGCCCGAGCAGTCTCCAGGCAGTGGCCGAGCCCGCTCCCAGCTGGGATGTCAGCGCCGTGTTTGCGAAGAGTTAAGGAGGCGGAAGAGGCAGGAAGCGGCCCGAGCCTCTCTCCATAGAAACCCGCGGCCGTGATTAAAGTCTGATGCGGGCCCGATAGCGGGGGGAGCGCAGGGGGGTGGCAGCGCCCGCTTTAATTACAGCGGAGGAAATTGCTGGAGCCGGGGCCCCAGCCCCTGCGAGTTGCCTGGAAACTCCCCCCTCCCCCGCCTCCCCCGGCCCCTGCCCGTCCCCTGCCCGTCCCGCTGCCATTTATTCGCCATCAGCTGCTCCCTGATAAAGTGGAATAATAATAATAATAATAGGGGCAGGAATATTAAAACATGCAGCCCGCGGGCCGCCCCCACAGCTGCCATGAGACACGGCACCGGAGCGGTGCCACTGCTGCTCAACATGTACCTGCCAGGTACGGGCGGATCCCTCGGCCGCTGCCCCGCCGCAGCGCCGTGCACCGCACAGCACCCAGCCCCTGCCCGCCTGTCCCGCTGAGGCCCCGGGGCTCTCCTCTGCCCCATCTCCTTCCAGCGCCCACCCTGTTATCCCCTCTCCCTCTGTCCATTCTCTTTTCCTGCCTTCCAGCACCACAACCATCGCTTCCTCCTTCCTTCCAGCTGCCTTCACAGCTTTCCACACCCGCACACTCATCTTCCCATCCTTCACCCACCCACCGTCACCCTGTCCTTCCATCTCTCCAACCACCCTTCTTTTCTTCCAACCCATTTTACCACCCACCCACCCTTCCCCTGTGCTTCCATCCATTCTTCCACCCCACCCACTTGTCCCTTCATCTCCCTTTCCATCCCTGCTACCAGCCAACCCCTCCATCTACCCTCTGTCCCTTACATCAGCCTGTTTTCCCACCATCTTACCTATTAATTGCCTTTCCTTCCGTCCGTCCACTTCTCATACTTTCTTCCCTCCACCTGGCCACACACCATCCTCTCTTCCATCCATCCATCCATCCATCCATCCATCCATCCATCCATCCATCCATCCATCCATCCATCCATCCATCCATCCATTTCCATCCTTCCATCCTTCTATCTATCTCTCCATTTATCTCTCCTTTCCACAGCGCTCCGCTCCTCAAATACCGACAGACATCCTTCCTTCCACCCGCTGCTCCTGTCACCCAACCTGCACCCAGCCGCCTCCTCTCCCTTTCCCCCTGCCCCA